AGGATGGGACATCCACAACTTCTGAAGGCCAGCCATTTCACTTGTTCTCACCATTAGGACATTTCTCCTTAGTTCTATGATGCTTCTCTCCTTGGTTAGTTTCCATCCATTGGTTCTTGTCTTGCTTTCTGGTGCTTTGGGAAATTGTTTGCTCCCATTTTTGTGACAGCCCCTCAAATATTGGAAGACTGCTATCATGTCACCCCTAGTTCTTCTTTCCGTTAAACTAGACATACCCAATTCCAGCAACCCTTCCTTATATGCTTTAGCCTCCAGTCCCCTAATCATCTCTGTGGCTCTCCTCTGCACTCTTTCCAGAGTCTCAACATCTTTTTAATATTCTGGTGACCAAAACTGGATGCAGTATTCCAAGTGTGGCTGTACTAACGCTTTGTAAAGTGGTACTAATACTTCATGTGATCTTGATTCTATCCCTTTGTTAATGCAGCCTAGGATGGCATTGGCTTTTTGGCTGCTGCTGCATGCAAAGATGTAGTAGTAGTAGTAGTAGTAGTAGTAGTAGTAGTAGTAGTAGTAGTAGTAGTAGTAATAATAATAATAGTAATAAAGTTGGAAGGGACCTTGGAGGTCATTTAGTTCAACCCCCTGCTCAGGCAGGAAACCCTATAGCATTTCAGACAAATGGCTGTCCAGTCTCTTCTTAAAAACTTCCAGTGTTGGAGCATTCACAGCTTCTGGAGACAGGTTGTTCCACTGGTTAATTGTTGTAACTGTCAGGAAGTTTCTCCTTAGTTCTAGGTTGCTTCTCTCCTTGATTAGTTTCCATCTGTTGCTTCTTGTCCTGCCTTCAGGTGCTTTGGAGAATAGCTTGACTCCCTCTTCTTTGGGGCAGCCCCTGAGATACTGGAACATTACTATCATGTCCCCCCTTATCCTTCTCTTCATTAAACTAGACAAAGCTTATTCCAGCAACTGTTCATTATATGTTTTAGCCTCCAGTCCCCTAATCATCTTTGTTGTTCTTCTCTGTATTCTTTCTAGAGTCTCAACATCTTTTTTACATCGTGGTTATCTAAGTATACTATGGCCACAGCACTTTAATCAAAGAATGAAATAAGATTTGCTTGGCATGATCTGTTTTTGACAAACCCACGTTGGCTACTGGCTATATAACATTTGTCTGCTTCTAGGTGTTTGCAGATTTGTTTCTTGATTATCTTTTCCGAGATCTTCCCAAGTATTGATGTCAGGCTGATTGGTCTGTAATTTCCTGGATCTGTTTCCCTCCTCCCCCCTTTTTTTGAAGATGGGGACCACATCAGCTCTTTTCCAGTCCTCAGACAATTCCCCCGTGCTCCAAGAACTTTGAAAAGTGTGGATCAAAGGTTTTGCGATCATGTCTGCCAGTTCTTTCAAAACTCTGGGATGTAATCCATCAGGACCCAGAGATCTGACTCCATCTAGAGCTGACAGGTGTTCACTTATTTCATTTTTGCTTGTTTTAATTTGCATTCATAGACTGTCTTTTACCGGGGGGGGGGGTCATGGTTTTCCCAGTCGCAATGCATGGCTGTGAAAGTTGGACCATAAGAAAGGCTGAGCGCCAAAGAATGGAGGCCTTTGAACTCTGGTGCTGGAGAAGACTCCTGCGAGTCTCCTGGACTGCAAGGCGATCCAACCGGTCAGTCCTGGAGGAGATCAACCCTGACTGCTCTTTAGAAGGCCAAATCCTGAAGTTGAACCTCAAGTCCTTTGGCCACCTAATGAGAAGGAAGGACTCACTGGAGAAGGGCCTAATGCTGGGGAAGATGGAGGGCAAGAGAAGAAGGGGACGACAGAGAAGGAGGTGGCTGGATGGAGTCCCTGAAGCAGGAGGTGTGAGCTTCAATGGACTCCAGAAGATGGTAGAGGACAGGAAGGCCTGGAGGAACGTTGTCCTTAGGGTCGCGACGGGTCGGACACAACTTCGCAACTAACAACAAGAAGTTGATTTGTATTTTCTTTTTGCATGATGATAGATGCAAAGAATGAATTCAGCAGTTCTTGTGGCTGGAGCTTCTGTTCTTCATCCAAGGCTCCAGAAACAGACCCAGAATCTGTTCTGAAGGGCCAGATCTTAACATAGGTCTTCTAGCTAAACCACCTTCTGTGTTTCCTCAGACCTTCCCTCAGCTCTGCTTCTCACTTCCTGTGCTTGCCGATCTTCACTGATAGATGTGTGTATGGAGGGGGGGGGGAAATGTGTTTTTGTGTATGTCTGTAGTAACTTGGAAGCTGTCAAATGCAATCAGAAAACAGCAACAAACTCTCCACCATCCTGTTCTTCCTCCTCTCACTTCTGCCTCTTCCTTCTCCTCAGCTGAGCCCCCCCCAATTAAACTCCTATTTTTTCCTAATGAGAGCCCTTGCTCTTCATTTCCTTTTTTCCTTTCCTTTCCTCTTCTCCTCTCATCTTTCCTTTCCTTCCCTTCCATCCCCTCCCCTCCCCTTCTTTTCCTTTCCCTCTTCCTCTCCCTTTCTTTCCTCACCCTTCTCTTCTTTACCTGTTTACCACTACTTTTCTCCTTCTCCTTCTCCTCTTCTCCTCTCTTTCCCTTCCCTCTTTCTTTCCCACCGTTTTCTTTTTTCTTCATTTTCCTTTTCCTTTTCACCTTTCCTTTCCCCTTCCCTTCCTTCCCTGTTTCCTTTCCTTCCTCTTTTTCCTTCTTCCTTTCCTTTCCTTTCTTTTCCTCTTCCCCTTCCCTTCCTTCCCTGTTTCCTTTCCTTCCTCTTTTTCCTTCTTCCTTTCCTTTCCTTTCCTTTTCCTTTCCCCTTCCCTTCCTTCCCTGTTTCCTTTCCTTCCTCTTTTTCCTTCTTCCTTTCCTTTCCTCCTTTTCCCCTTCCCTTCCTTCCCTGTTTCCTTTCCTTCCTCTTTTTCCTTCTTCCTTTCCTTTCCTTTCTTTTCCTTTCCCCTTCCCTTCCTTCCCTGTTTCCTTTCCTTCCTCTTTTTCCTTCTTCCTTTCCTTTCCTTTCTTTTCCTCTTCCCCTTCCCTTCCTTCCCTGTTTCCTTTCCTTCCTCTTTTTCCTTCTTCCTTTCCTTTCCTCCTTTTCCCTTCCCTTCCTTCCCTGTTTCCTTTCCTTCCTCTTTTTCCTTCTTCCTTTCCTTTCCTTTCCTTTTTTCCCCTTCCCTTCCTTCCCTGTTTCCTTTCCTTCCTCTTTTTCCTTCTTCCTTTCCTTTCCTTTCCTCCTTTTCCCTTCCCTTCCTTCCCTGTTTCCTTTCCTTCCTCTTTTTCCTTCTTCCTTTCCTTTCCTTTCCTCCTTTTCCCTTCCCTTCCTTCCCTGTTTCCTTTCCTTCCTCTTTTTCCTTCTTCCTTTCCTTTCCTTTCTTTTCCTCTTCCCCTTCCCTTCCTTCCCTGTTTCCTTTCCTTCCTCTTTTTCCTTCTTCCTTTCCTTTCCTTTCTTTTCCTCTTCCCCTTCCCTTCCTTCCCTGTTTCCTTTCCTTCCTCTTTTTCCTTCTTCCTTTCCTTTCCTCCTTTTCCCTTCCCTTCCTTCCCTGTTTCCTTTCCTTCCTCTTTTTCCTTCTTCCTTTCCTTTCCTTTCCTTTTTTCCCCTTCCCTTCCTTCCCTGTTTCCTTTCCTTCCTCTTTTTCCTTCTTTCCTTTCCTTTCCTTTCCTCCTTTTCCCTTCCCTTTCCTTCCCTGTTTCCTTTCCTTCCTCTTTTTCCTTCTTCCTTTCCTTTCCTTTCCTTTCCTCCTTTCCCCTTCCCTTCCTTCCCTGTTTCCTTTCCTTCCTCTTTTTCCTTCTTGCTTTGCTTTCCTTTCCTTTGCTTTGCTTTCCCACTGCTCTTCACTGCTCCTCTCCTCTCCTCTCCTTCCCTTCCATCCCCTCCCCTCCCCTTCTTTTCCTTTCCCTTTCCATTTCTTTCCTCACCCTTCTCTTCTTTATCTGTTTCTCCTCTCCTCTCCTTTTTTCCTATCCCATTTTCCTTTCTTTCTTCGTCCTTCTCTTCTTTACCTGTTTACCCCTACTCTTCTCTTCCTACATTCTGGCTTTCCCATCTAGACGGTAAGCCATCTGGTTGGCCTCCATCTGACCAGGTTGCTGGACCTCATTTGCCCATGGCCAAGCCCAACTTCAAGGTCTTCTTCAGTTCTTCAAGGAAAAGGAAGAATGGCTAAATGCCCCAGGGCTCTGTTCTGGGCCCAGTACTCTTCAACATCTTCATCAACGATTTGGATGAAGGGATAGATGGGGAACTCATCAAATTTGCAGACGACACCAAGCTGGCAGGAATAGCCAACACTCCAGAAGACAGGCTTCAGATACAGAAGGATCTGGACAGACTTGAACACTGGGCACTAACTAACAAAAGGAAATTCAATGGTGAAAAAAGCAAGGTTCTACATTTAGGCAAGAAAAACCAAATGCACAAGTACAGCATAAGTGGCACCATGCTCAATAGTAGTAACTGTGAGAGGGACCTCGGAGTCCTAGTAGACAATCATCTAAATATGAGCCAGCAGTGTGCTGCAGCTGCCAAAAAGGCCAACACAGTGCTAGGCTGCATTAACAGAGGGATAGAATCAAGATCACGTGAAGTATTAATACCACTCTTCAATGCCTTGGTAAGGCCACACTTGGAATACTGCATCCAGTTTTGGTCACCACGATGTAAAAAAGATGTTGATACTCTAGAAAGAGTACAGAGAAGAGCAACAAAGATGATTAGGGACTGGAGGCTAAAACATATAAGGAACGGTTGCTAGAATTGGGTATGTCTAGTTTAACGAAGAGAAGGACAAGGGGGGACATGATAGCAGTATTCCAATATCTCAGGGGCTGCCATAAAGAAGAGGAAATTAAGCTATTTTCCAAAGCACCTGAAGGCAGGACAAGAAGCAACGTGTGGAAACTAATCAAGGAGAGAAGCAACCTAGAACTAAGGAGAAACTTCCTGACAGTGAGAACAATTAATCAGTGGAACAGCCTGCCTCCAGAAGCAGTAAATGCTCCAACACTGGAAGTTTTTAAGAAGAGACTGGACAGCCATTTGTCCGAAATGATGTAGGGTTTCCTGCCTGAGCAGGGGGTTGGACTAGATGACCTCCAAGGTCCCTTCCAACTTTACTACTATTACTATTACTAAATCAGAGCTTTATAATTATTCTTCTCTTTTTCAGGCAGAAAAATCCCACTTGAAGGACCAACCGACCAAGCGCGCGGCCATGTGGCTGCTATGGAGCCTCTCTCTGGCTGCTGCCTCTTTTCGCGTGCCTGCCACTGGGGAGGTGGTGAGGAACTTCAAAACCTGCACTCAGTTCTTTTTGAATCAAAAACCCCCCAAATTGTCCCTGATGCCGAAGAATCTGGCCACAATCTGCCAGTACTATCAGGGCAAGTATCTATTTGCCACAATGTACGACAAAGAGCGGCACATCCCTCTATTCTCGGCGTATAAATATCAACCAGGCGGGAGGAGAAGAAAAGATGAGTGGAAAATCGAACCACAGGTAAAAGGAGTTCCTATTGGAAGCTAGACTTTCCTGAAACGGAGGCAACTTTAAAGGAACAGTCCGACATTAGGAAATCAGGGAAGACAGGAATTTAAGAATTGTTTGTGCGTAATAAATCCTAGGAGTTCACCAGGAGCTTTCTTTCTTCAAACAAACAAGTTTAGGGAGAACCCAGAACCCAAAAAATTTCAAGCTTGAGCAATATGTGTTCTCCACTAAAGGATAGTTTAACTTACCCAAGAGGGATTATCTGGGGGTTCAATTTCCAGAATTCTCAGGGAAGCGTGGAAGATGCTATTCCAATCTATCTGAAGGCCACCGTGGAATCATAGAATTGTAGGACTGGAAGGGACACTGGGAGGTCTTCTAGTCCAGGGCTTTTCAACCAGTGGTACGGGTACCACCTGTGGTACATTGGCACCTGGCAGGGGGTATGTGACCATCCTAGAAAAGTGGTAGCGGGGGAGGGGAATGAGCTGAACCGGTGGCAGCACCGCACAAGCCTGAGCGAGAGACGGCTGGAGCTGCAGGGTTGTCAGGGCTCAGCGGAAGCGCCAGGATCAGTGCCAGGCTCCAGCTGATCGGCGTTTCTTCGGGGCTGTCAGGGCTCAGTGGAAGCACCAGGATCAGCGCCAGGCTCCAGCTGGAGCTCGGCGCTGATCCTGGCCCTTCTGCTGAGCCCTGAAGGAGCACCGATCAGCTGGAAAGCAACACTGATCCTGGCGCTTCTGCTGAGCCCAGAAGAAGCGCCGATCAGCTGGAATGTTCCAGCCTCTCCAGGGTCTTGTGATTTACATTCAGATGCTTGGCAACTGATTCATATTTATGACGGTCACAGTGTCCCAGGGTCATGTGAAGTGACCAAAACCTGCTGCAACCACCCAGCAGACAGGGGGGGGAATAAAAACCAAACAACCCCCCCACACCACCCCCGCTGCCAATCCTCAACAGAAATGCTCACAACAATGAAAACCTCGGACAGGAGGAAGAGCGAGGCCAGGCAGGCAGGCAGGTGTGTTGCTCGGCTGTGTCTTGGGGGGCACTTTTTTCAGTACCATTGTAACTTCAAACAGTCACTAAGTGAACTGTTGTAAGTCGAGGACTACCTGTACTTCATCACTTTTTTCCTTTTTTTTTTTTGGTCCTCAAGTTTTTGACCCCTTGCTAGGCGACTGGTGGTCCTCGGATGTTGCCCTATCCTAAAAGTGGTACAATGGGTGACAAGGTTGAAAAGCTCTGGTCTAGTCCAACCCCCTGCTCAAAGCAGAAGACGTTATACCATCCCAGTCAAATGGTTGTCCAATCTCTGCAAGTGTATCCCAAAGGTACTTTTTCAGGCGCCAGTTGGGCTGTCTGTTTTTCTTTGAAGATGTTTTGCTTCTCATCCCAGAAGCTTCTTCAGCTCTGACTGGATGGTGGTATAAAAGATTTATACCCCTGCAGACAGCTGGTCATTTGCCTTCTTTTAGCAAGGCGTTAAAGCTACCTGGGGTCACCTGAGTGGTGCAAATGGGTGTGGAGCCTTCTTGGGACTGCTGAAAGGACGGTGTCGTAGACTGGAGATAGATGATGTCGTATCCCTTCCCCTCTGTTGAGAGAGGGCTGTTAAATTTTGACCTAGATGGCCTCTTTGACCCCTCTTTCAAACCAGCGGGTCCTCTCTGTCCAAAATGTGGACTTTGCTGTCTTCGAAAGGGCAGCCTTCATCTTTCAAATGCAGACGGACTGCGAACTCCTATCCTGATGGGTTTGCTCTCCTATGTTGCGCCACAAGTTTGTGAAGTGGTGGTTTGTTTCCCCAATGTACAGATCTGCACATGGCTCACGGCATTGTACTGAGTACACCACATTGCTCAGTTGGTGTCTGGGTATTTTATCCTCGGCGTGGACAAGCTTCTGCCTTGGTGTATTCTTGAGGTTAAAATGTGCTTTTATGCAAGTAAAGCAATAGCAATAGCCCTTAGACTTATATACTGCTTCACAGTGCCTTTACAGCCCTCTCTAAGCGGTTTACAGAGTCAGCCTGTTGTCCCCCAACAATCTGGGTCCTCCTTTTAACTGACCTCGGAAGGATAGAAGGCTGAGTCAACCTTCAGCTGGTCAGGATTGAACTCCAGGCTGTGGGCAGAGTTTGCCTGCAGTACTGCATTCTAACCACTGTACCATCAGTGACTTACTTCCTTCCTTCCTTCCTTCCTTCCTTCCTTCCTTCCTTCCTTCCTTCCTTCCTTCCTTCCTTCCTTCCTTCCTTCCTTCCTTCTTAGCAATAGCCCTTAGACTTATATACCACTTCACAGTGCTTTACAGCCCTCTCTAAGCAGTTTACTAGAGTCAGCATATTGCCCCCAAGAATCTGGGTCCTCATTTTACTGACCTCGGAAGGATGGAAGGCGGAGTCAGTGTTGAGCTGGTTAGAATCAAACTCCTGGCAGCCAGCAGAGTTAGTAATAGCAATAGCCCTTAGACTTATATACCGCTTCACAGTGCTTTACAGCCCTCTCTAAGCGGTTTACTAGAGTCAACCTATTGCCCCCAACAATCTGGGTCCTTATTTTACTGACCTTGGAAGAATTGAGCGGGTCAGGATCGAACTACTGACAGTCAGCAGAATTAGCCTGCAATACTGCATTCTAACCACTGCGCCACCACGGCTCTTTTTTTTTTTGTAAAAATTTTTATTTTCAACTTTACAATACATAACAATCTTACAAATACTTCAGATAAAAAATAAAACAAATTGATACACACCACATTCGGTCTTGCCCGCCCATTTCCCCCCAAACCGCATCCCACCTCAAACCAACTTACTTCTTTCCCTCTTTTTCTTCACTCACCCCCTCTCCTCCTTCACCTCAACCTTCCTACTTACTTCTCACCTTCTTCTCCTCCCTCTTGATGCGGTCCAGGGGAAATGCCCGAGCAGTTCCTCTCTCAAAATTAAAACATTAATATTATATACAATAAGACTATTTCTACTTTATCTGAACTACTTAAACTTCAACCCATCCACCCCCCACCCCCCTCCCCCCCGACTTCCCAGAGCAAAATACAGGATTATGCAAACATATTAAACATAATCTATTTAAGTTTACTAATTATACAATGAACAAAATCATAAAAACCCTTAACTCTCTTCAAACTTTAACATCATAAGTTTATAAACAAAATCATTACTCATAGAATAAGTGAAACTTTGTAGTTCCATATTTCTTCTGAACATATTCTATCCATCTTCTCCATACGTTAAAATATCTCTCTTGTGAACGGTCCTTTAAATAAGCAGAAATTTTAGCCATTTCTGCTAAATTAGAAACCTTAAATACCCATTCTCTAAAGAAGGCAGAGTATCCTTCTTCCAATATTGACCCACCAGTAATCTTGCTGCTGTTATTAAATTCAACATTAAAATAGTTTCTTTAACATTAAAGTCCACGAAAATTCCCAAAAGGAACAGTTGGGGAGTAAACTTAATCTTCCTTTTAAAAGGATGTGAGGGCGATCTGGCTGCGACATCTGTCACCCCATTGATTGCCAGGGTTGATTCGGCTGATCTGGCTGATTAGGCGGGTGTCCCCTTCCTCCCTCACCACCCCATGTGCGTCCCTCCCGAAGCTGCGCGCTCGGTGGAAGAGGACGACCATCCCAGATAGAAGAAGTGTACCGATCTTCGGTCAAGGGTATACGATAGCTGTGCTCCCCTGCAAGAACCTCCAAACAAGCTCAAGGTCCACCACGGCTCTTAACTGGCCTGTTGGCTGGGATGCCTGGAAGATGCTATCAAATCTATTTGAAGGTTACCAAGTATGCAGAGTCCTCTTGCAGAGTACTGCATATCCCATGCCCTAGACTAGGGGTAGGCAACCTTGGCTCTTTTATGACTGGTGGACTTCAACTCCCAGAATTCCTGAACCAGCCTGGCTCAGCTTGGAAACCTCTCCCTTTCCCCTCAGCTTGACTGGCTCAGGAATTCTGGGAGTTGAAGTCCATCAGTCATCAAAGAGCCAAGGTTGCCTACCCCTGGTCTAGACTTAGTGTTTCTCATCCTTGGCTAATTTAAGACTCGGGGACTTCAACTCCCAGAATTCCCGAGCCAGCATGGCTCAGCTTGGAAACCTCTCCCTTTCCCCTCAGCGTGGCTGGCTCAGGAATTCTGGGAGTTGAAGTCCACCAGTCATAAAAGAGCCAAGGTTGCCTACCCCTGGTCTAGACTTAGTGTTTCTCATCCTTGGCTAATTTAAGACTCGGGGACTTCAACTCCCAGAATTCCCGAGCCAGCATGGTTCAGCTTGGAAACCTCTCCCTTTCCCCTCAGCGTGGCTGGCTCAGGAATTCTGGGAGTTGAAGTCCACCAGTCATAAAAGAGCCAAGGTTGCCTACCCCTGGTCTAGATTTAGTGTTTCTCATCCTTGGCTAATTTAAGACTCGTGGACTTCAACTCCCAGAATTCCTGAGCCACCATGGCTCAGCTTGGAAATCTCTCCCTTTCCCCTCAGCATGGCTGGCTCAGGAATTCTGGGAGTTGAAGTCCACCAGTTATAAAAGAGCCAAGGCTGCCTATCCCTGCCCTAGCTGATTCATGGTAGATCTTTTCCCAGATTCAGAGTGTCTGGTTCAGTGCTGTGTGAACATTAACCAAACCCATTGCTTGTCATTCCTTATTCCTAGCTTGCCCTGCCTTGGGAGCGTAGGCAAAGAAGCATGGAAGCCGAAGAGACTTGCAAAATTAACCACAGGCTCCTTGCAAACAGCCAGGCTCTTTCCGAGGATTACAAACAGACTTCTATCTACGACAGGGGACACTTGTTGCCTGTGTCCCATCAACCGGATCGGGAGGGTAAAGCCGCAACCTTCACCTTAACCAACATCGTGCCCCAGTTTCGCCGACTGAATCAAGGAAAATGGGCAGAATACGAAAGAAATATGAAAAAATATACCAAAGGGTGTGTGAATACCTACGTCCTTGTGGGTGCGGTGCCCGGGGATCAATTCATTGCTCGTGGCAGAGTGAACATACCTAGTCATATCTGGGCTGCGGCTTGTTGTGTGTCGAAACACAACCAGAAAAAATCCTGGGCAGTCATTGCAGCAAATAATCAGACTCTGGTAATCTGGCATAGCCTAAAGCAGCTGGAAACAGAACTTGCTGCATGCTATGGGAAGAAGGAAATTAATCTTTTCAATGGCGCCTGTTATTCAGGGTAAACTCCACAAAACAACTTTGTGTCACAAATCAAGGGTCTTCTAACTTGGCCCTTTTGATGACTTGTGGACTTCAACTCCCAGAATTCCTCAAACAAGCACGCTGGCTGAAGAATTCTGGGAGTTGAAGTCCACAAGTCATCAAAGAGCTAAATTTGAAGACCCCTGCATTAAATAATAATAACAACAACAGCAACAACAACAACCACCTCTGGCAGAGCTCTCATCTTCCTCAGAGTACACAAGCCCCACAACCGATGATCCATAATAATAATAATAATAATAATGTTGGAAGGGACCTTGGAGGTCATCTAGTCCAACCCTCTGCTCAGGCAGGAAATGAATGTGGTTAATTACAGCTAGTTCTTGATTTACAACAGTTCATTTAGTGACTGAAGTTACAACAGCACTGAAAAAAGTGGCTTGAGACTGTTTTTGTGACTGACTCTTATTTATGACGGTTGCAGTGTCCCCCGGGATCCACTTTGGTGATCTTCTGACAAGCAAAGGCAATGAATGGGGAAGCCAGATGCACTTAACAGCGATGTTACCCACTTAACAACTAAAATGGTTCACTCAACAAATGTGGCAAGAAAAGTTGTAAAATGGGGCAAAACACAAATTTTGTCACTTAGCCATATAAAATTTGGAGGCTCAACTGTGGTCGCTAATTGAGGACTATCTGTATAATACTGAGTTTGATCTGTATCATTTTTTTCACTCGATGTCGTGAAAATCCAGCCTATTTCATTAGTTTAATGGTTTAGATTACTAGGCAAATAAATTAATCCATTAACCAGATGAAAGGTGCAGCGTGGACACAACTAAAACTGCGTCTTGTTTATCACAGTTTACATTTGTCTGGACGCGCTTTGTCATTTCAACAGATACAAAACTTCTTGTTTTTTTCAAAGTATTGTATTAATTTTCTAGTATTACAATCCATTAGTGCTTAATGAACAACGTGTTGCCTGGGTTGATTTGTTTTGCTTAGTAATACAAGTTAAGTTCTTACTCTCTATCCCGTTTCTCTACCCATAGATAAAATAAGTTCCATGTTTGAAAATATTCTGAGTCTTCTTTGATCCTCAATGTAAATTTAACCATTTCAGCACAGTCCAGTATTTTCTTGATTATCTCTTCATCCAATGGTGTTTTTTTCATTTTTCCAGGCCTGAGCAAATATAATCCTTGCTGCTGTTAATACATGTAATGTTACATACACACTTTGTTTATCAATTTTTTCTGGAATTATACCTAATTAAAAAAAGTTCAGACCATGTCTACATCAGGGGTGTCAAATTCAATTTCATTAAGGGCCGCATCAGCATTGCGGTTGCCCTCGGGGGGGTCTGGGTGGGTGTGGCCAGGGTGGGTGCAGCCTACTGGGTGGGCGTGGCCAGCTCTACATCATTCGTGTCAAGGGTGCCTGTGGGGGCCTGGGCAGGAATGGGACAGATCTGAGGGTCTCTGGCAAAAGGGGGTGGGACCAGGGCAGAGTCCATCAAGCCGGATAAGTGAAGTAGGCGAGGGCCATTTGCTGGCCACTTCCAGGCGATGGTGCATTGCTTCATTCCTCACAAAGGGTGACCCCTCCCCAGCATGCAACCAGGGGATGGAGCCGACGCAGCAGGGGCTGGTTCCTCGCTGTTTCCAGATGGCCTTGTGGAGCTAAGACTGAATACATTTCAGCATAGATGGCCACCACAAAATTGTACATTGGCTCCCGGCCGGCCTGGGCCAGGGCCAAGGCAGCGGGGGCCGTTCCCTCACTGTTTCCAGGATGGCTTCGCGGGCCACATGAAACCACTTTGCGGCCCGCATCCGGCCTCCAGGCCTTGTGTTTGACATGTCTGGTCTACGTGTAGAGAGGAATGGCAATTGGTTTGGATTTTCATGTACAAAAGGTTGTTACAGAGAACAAGTAGTTGGGGTACCCTGTCACGGACGCGTCATGGGTGGGGAAAGCGGACATAAAAGCCCCCCCCCCGTTTGCCGAGACTATTCCGCCGACGGAATCCCAATAAACCAGGAGGGGGGGGTAGCTGCGTCATCCGCCATAGTTCATGACTAATTGTGCATCTCTTCTTGCCTTCCAGGTGGAGCCCTGGTAGGGGGGTCTGTCTGTCAAGCCTCTGTGGGCTTGCCCCTAACGGGGGGGGGAGGAGGGGACAAGACCATCGGATGAAGGCATCCGGAGGCAGCGGACGGGACCAGAAACAGAGACAGAGGCGACAGCCCCTTTGCTCCATTGGACACTTTTGATATTCAATTGCAGGCAGAAGGTGGCAGCACCTCCCCAATCAATGAAACCAGCCAGCAGATATCAGCTGTTTTCTGACAGAGGAGCGCAGTTGTTGCAGCATAATTTATGAAAGAGATGGTGGGCAGGCATGGTAGGAAAGGAGGGAGGGGAGGGGAGGGGAGGGGAGGAGAGAAGGAAAGGAAAGGAAAGGAAAGGAAGAAGAAAAAAGAGGAAGGAAAGGAAACAGGGAAGGAAAGGAGAAGAGGAAAGGAAAAGGAAGGGAAGGAAACGGAGGCAGAAGGGAGGGAGGAGAAAGGGAATCAGGAAAAAGAGAGAGGAAGAATAGGAGATAGGGAGAGAAGAGAAAGGAAAAGAAAGGATAGAAAAGGAAGGAAGGAAGGAAGGAAGGAAAGAAGGAAGGAAGGAAGGAAGGAAGGAAGGAAGGAAGGAAGGAAGGAAGGAAGGAAGGAAGGAAGGAAGGAAGGAAAGAAAGGAAAGGAAACAAGAAGGAAAGGAAAGGAAAGGAATCAAGAAGGGAAGGAAACAAAAGGAAAGGAAAGGAAAGGAAAGGAAAGGAAAGGAAAGCATGGCTGGCTGGGGAATTCTGGGAGTTGAAGTCCACAAGTCTTAAAGTTGCCAAGGTTGGGAACCCCTACTTTAGAGTATCTTGAAGTCCAGTTTTGAACCTGTTCTGAAAATAAATTGAAGAGGGGGCCAAATTATTCTCCAACGTACCAGAAAGCAAAACAAGAAGCAACGGATGGAAACTAATCAAGGAGAGAAGCAACTTGGAATTAAGGAGAAACTTCCTGAAAGGGAAGACAATTAACCAGTGGAACAGCTTGCCACCAGACGTTTGGTGCTTCATCAGGGGAGGCTTTTAAGAAGAGACTGGATGGTCTAGGACCTCCTGCTTGAACAGGGGGTTGGACTAGATGACCTCCAAGGTCCCTTCGACCTCTATTCTGACTGAACTGTGGTCGTGAGGCGAGGACTACCTGTCCTCAGAGCTCCCTGGGTGGACTTCACCAAGGACATTTTGTTTATTTAGCCCTTAGCAGTCACACCATGTGCCGAGAGTATTTATATCTGTGCATCGCAGAATCAGATTATATGTGAAACGCACTCCTTATCCAAACAACTGATCGGTCACAAAGAACAAGATGTGGTTGTTCAGTTTGAAAACAACTTTTCCTTTTGGGGGAGGGGCGGAAGCAATGGGAAGAAACTGGAGAAGAAAATTAAGAAGAAAATGGCTTCCTGGAGCCACAGAACACTGTGTGAGGTAAATTCCTCCTAGGCCAGGGCTAGGAAACCTTGGCTCTTTTATGACTCATGGACTTCAACTCCCAGAATTCCTGAGCCAGCCATGCTGAGGGGAAAGGGAGAGGTTACCATGCTTAGCCATGCTGGCTCAGGAATTCTGGGAGTTGAAGTCCACATCTCATAAAAGAGTCAAGGTTGCCTACCCCTGGTCTAGCAGGCTCACCGCTTAAAACAGGAGGCCTTAGGACAGGGGTAGGCAACCTTGGCTCTTTTATGACTCGTGGACTTCAACTCTCAGAATTCCTGAGCCAGCATGAAACCTCTCCCTTTCCCCTCAACATGGCTGGCTCAGGAATTCTGGGAGTTGAAGTCCACGAGTCATAAAAGAGCCAAGGATGCCTACCCCTGCCCCAGCCATTTTTGTGATTTTTAAAAATATCGTGACTATGTTTTTCTCAAGGAATTCAAGGCACTCTTTTTGCCGTCTCATGGCCATTCTTCTGAAATAATTTGGGCTGAGAAGGATAAATTGGCTTCTTGGTGATTGAAATAAACTTGGGCTAAACTATAACCAAGGGCTGGCTAAGGAATTCTGGGAAGTCTTAAAGTGGCCAAGTTTGAAGACCCCTGCCCTATATGACATTTCTCATTCAGTTTGGTGACAACTTCTCAACTCCTTTTAAGTTCCACGATGCTCGGACTGAAGCAGATGCTTTAATAGTGGTCCAGCTTGGGCTTTTTATTTGTGTATCTAATTTTATATTTATCCCGCCTTTATTGTGTTTATAAATAATTCAAGGTGGCAAACATACTTCTTTCCTCCTTCTATTTTCCCCACCTGGTCAGGTGGATTAGGCTGAGAGAAAATGATTGGCCCCAAGTCACTCAGCTGGCTTTCATACCTAAGACGAGACTAGAACTCACCATTTCCTGGTGATTGGCCCCAAGTCATCCAGCTGGCTGTCCTGCTTAAGGCAGAACTAGAACTCACCATCTCCTGGTGATTAGCCCCAAGTCATCCAGCTGGCTGTCCTGCTTGAGGCAGAACTAGAACTCACCATCTCCTGGTGATTGGTCCCAAGTTATCCAGCTGGCTGTCATGCTTGAGGCAGAACTAGAACTCACCATCTCCTGGTGATTGGCCCCAAGTCACCCAGCTGGCTATCATGCTTGAGGCAGAACTAGAACTCACCATCTCCTAGTGATTGGCCCCAAGTCATCCAGCTGGCTGTCATGCTTAAGGCAGAACTAGAACTCACCATCTCCTAGTGATTGGCCCCAAGTCACCCAGCTGGCTATCATGCTTGAGGCAGAACTAGAACTCACCATCTCCTAGGCATTGGCCCCAAGTCATCCAGCTGGCTGTCATGCTTGAGGTGGAACTAGAATTCACCATCTCCTGGCCCAAAATTATATAATAATATAATAAAATTATATATATATATTGGAGAAAACAGGTTACTCATAAGCAAACAGGTGTCTTTAGCTGTAGTT